TGCAACCTCTGCAGCGCTGGTTCGATCCCCAGCCACAGGCGAGGGTGCCACATGGCGCGCAGACCACTCCTGCTGCCCGCTGCTCCCCTCAGCAGCGTATTTCGTCAGTCTGTCTGTTCTGTTCCCCACCTGGCTCTGGTGAATTCTCTCACCCTCCTGCGCTTCTGACTGTATCCCGGTTATTGTATAAATAAATCTTTTTAAAAAAAAAATAACAAGGGGCCTCCCTTGGTGACTCAAGGGGTTAGGTCTCAGTACTATAAAGCAATCCACAGCCACTGCAGCAGGAATTCAATCCCCGGCCAGGGAGCTAACCCACATGGCCAGGCAGACCTCTCCTATCTCCCCCGCTACTCCCCTCAGCAGTGTATTTCAGTATATCCACCTGTTCCCCATTCTGTTTCTGGTAATTCCTCACTGCCCCCCCACCTCTGGCCTACACCCCAACTCTTGTATGCATAAATAAATAAATCTTTAAAAATGGGGGGTAGTTGTTTAGTAGATTGTGGTACAATGCAAGTGATAAACTAACCACATAACCATCTTTATTTTTAATGTTGAAGAATATCGACAGGAAAAGAAGCTGTATGTAAAAAGAGTAATTATTTGTTTTAAATATTTAAATATTTATATGAGGGCCCACTTGTTCGTGGTTTATCCCTATATAAACACTGAAACAACATACTCTTTTTTAATTGATAAACATTTTGAGACTTAAAGATGTTACTGTTCCAAGAAAATGTAAAGAAAAATTCTTGCTTTATGGTAGTTTTTCTACTGTAAAGTAGGCTTTCTCCAAAATGATTTAAGTCTACAAATTTCTATTTTTCTGCCTAACTACTTTCATTTTCTCAATTCCAAATATTTACAAAACTAGATTTCCTTTCAGAAATGATTTATGTTTTGTTTAATTTTCCTGGAAGCTGTTAGCAGGGGTCTGGTAACAATTAGGTTTTTTTTTTTTTTTAAAGGAAATTCTTTTCTAGGAAAAATTATAGTCTCCATGTTTTTAAACTCTGAAATCTTTAATCCATCTTCATATGTTAAAATGATTAACATATTCAGATTGGCTTTTCATTTGCCTAGATAGCTGGTATAAAAAAGAAACTGACTTGGCAGAGTAGTACTGAGTAAAGAGAAAGTATGTGAAGACAGGAAAAAAGTAGAACTGCTCTCTACCCTCATTTATTTTATCCAGAAGGCGAAGGTTTGCACCAGCTCTAAGACTGCAACAGGAGAACTGAAGTAAACAAAGTAGGCATAGACAGCTCCACTCAATGCCGCTAATCCTCTTATGCCAAAACCAAGCAAGCTACATACCTGTTCTCCAGTAACCTCTTGCTACCTGTTGTGGGTTACTAGTATAAGTTCAGCCTAGTCCAGAACTTTCCATTATGCTTAAGAAAAAGAACTTCTGTGAAGACACAGCAGTTCATGGAGTTTGTTCCAGGCCATGGAATATGGAAAAGTATTTTCACTTACTTCCATCATTTCTGCTATCATATTGAGGGATTTTTTTTCTGATATATGGTCAACTCACCTGAGAATTCTATGGGTTATTCTCACCCTCACAGCAACTGCCCTAAACTCATAGTTACTATGGTTATTAAAGTAAACTTGTCACAGAAATTATAAGAATACTTATAAATATCCTTTTCCTCATAGGTTTGCTCTGAGGAGCAAGTTTCACTAGATGGGCCCTCTTTGTGTCTACAAGTGTGTAATACTATAATTCCAAATGACTTTTGTTTCTTTATGTATAAATGATTATCTTAAATGTGATTTTTAATAGTACTAGGGCTTACCTTTTAAAAGGATTATATTGAAAGCACTTTAGAAAGGTGCATTACACATTCAGGTTCCTAGATGTTGCTTGTAGTCATTGTTTTAAGTACTGAAATTTTTAAAGACTTGGGATAACTTGTCTTTTGTCAGTGTCAAGTAAGGGTAACATTAACACTGAACATTTTTTCATATTATAAATGATATATTTGTTAAAGAAAAATCAGGAAACAGATAAGCAAAAATAACATTAAAATTCAAAATATTAAGATAAAGGAATCAGTAAATTATATTTTTAAGATGTACATCTTTTCAAATATTAAAAATCTCTGAAATCAAGATGTGTGAAGTTTAATTGCCTTTCTTTTCTAGTGATATAAAAAACGTGCTTCTTCAGTGAGCCATCTTCAATTTAAGTCTCGTATTCAGTGAAATACAGTAATAGATTCATTGTAATTAGGCTATGGATCTCTACCAATAGCCTAGCAAATCTGAGGGACAGACTGCATTGCACAAATTGCTAGCACTGATATGAGGAAGCATTTCCATTAGCAAAATACTTGTCTGGAACTGGCATTCCAAGGTATGCTGAACTGTTTCCACTCTTCTCATTTTCACCGCCAACCCCCACTCAAAACGATGGGCCCTAGTTCTGCATTATAGGTGTCTTAGCATTCACACTTTAATTCCCACAGAGAAGACTGGTAGGAGCATCTTCCTGAGGCCACCTCACCTTCACTTTGTCTCCAGTAGAAAGCACAATCACTGTTGATTAATTTTGAAGCAGAAGTTGTTGAACATAAATCTTTGATAGAATGATTTATTCTTTTGTGCGATATTTCATGGTAAGTAGCTTGTTTTACTTATTGGCTAGTCAGTATTTCTATTTCATGGTCCTTCATATCTTTTTATTATAGTACAACAAAGACATCTGTTTAATTCTAGTAACAGTGGTATATAGTTTTTCGAAATGTATCCTGTGTGTGTAAATATGTCTGTATATACATGTGTGTGCATATATATGATAAAATACAACATAAATATGTTTATTTTCTTAAAGATTTATTTATTTATGCATACAAGAACTGGGTGTATAGGCCAGAGGTATGGAGGGTGAGAGGATTCACCAGAGACACAGTGGGGAGCAGAACAGGCAGATCTACTGAAATAAACGCTGAAGGGAGCAGCAGTTGCAACAGGAGAGGTCTGCTGCACCATGTGGGTCAGCTCCCTGGCTGGGATTGAACTCATGCTGCAGTGGCTGGCGATAGCTTGATAGCGCTGAAACTTTAACCCCTGAGCCACCAGGGAGGCCTCCAGTATCATATTTATATTTACTATTTTATTTCATAAAACCCGTACTTTGGTTTTTCTTATATCTAGAACTTTAATAATTTCTTCCCTTTTTATATATGTGCAGGAAATACTAAAGAATGAAAAATATAGAGAAGAAATTAAAATTAAAAGCCGAGATTTTTATGAAAAAGAACTCCTTAGTAAAGAGAATGAGAAACTCCTAGTTCCACCAGTTGAAACTCAGATTAAAGGACATGCCTCTGCTCCATTCTTTGGGAAGGAAGAACCCTCGGTGGCTCCCACCAGCACTGGTAAAACCTTTCAACCAGGATCCTGGATGCCACAAGGAGACAAGAGCCATAATCAGTAAATGCACTGTGGTAAAATTATTTCCTTTATATGTTTGTGATTATTTTAACAAATAAAATGTTACTTTGTTTTCTGACTGCCCAATAGTTTTCTTTCATTAAGCTTAAGAAATTGTTGTTAGTATGCAGAAGAGACTATAAGGTTTTGAACTATAGAAGCCTTATATACTATAGAAGTATGTAGCTGTAAACGTTCAGCACATACTTTTGGATCCTTATGCTCATTTAGGAATCATCCAAGATCCATTTTGGTAGAAAATATAAGCATAAATAGCTCTCCCAAATGATCAATATAAGAGAAAAAAATGAGAAGACTGGAGAGACATTCTGTAAGATTCTAAGGGATTAATTAAAAAATGAACTTGGATAAAGCAGGTGGAGGCCAATAAAACTTAGTTGATAAATGAAGTTATCTAGAAACCACAGAGACCTTGATTAGTAGATGGGACAAAAACTAGTTTATGGTGGGACTGAGGTTATACTTTTAATAGATGTTTAGGAGCAACAGAAGTAGACAGTCTATAGCAGAAGTACAGTAAACAGAAATGGTTCAATAACTGGAGTTCCATGAGAGTAAAATTACTCTGAGAAAATTGGAAAATAGAGGTTTTCAGAAAGCAATTCCACTGTTAGTGGGGACTCCAGTTGCTTGTACATTGAAGAAAAATGTAGATGGATAATATGCATGTTAAAACACCAATGATGTACAAAAGTATTTCTAAAGGCTTGTTTCTGAGGTACACAACCAAGTTTTTGTTGCTAACATAGTTCTAATTCTAATGTTAATTTAATATCAAGTATTTTGCAATGCAATAGGTACTAAGTAAATATTAATGACTGAACAACCCAAATTTTTATGCTCTGATTAAGGAAATCCCTGCCTAAGTGTTAACAATAAATTCCTAAAAACACATTAAGATATATGCTGAACAGAGGGTAAAAATTTTAATTGTTTAAGAAATAAGCTATAGAAAATACTTCATAAACATTTTTTACTAAAACAAATTAACCAAATATAATCACCATAACATACTACATGACCAAAAAAAAATCCCTACATAATACTACTAATATTCCAGCAGCCCTGTTAATATCAGCTTACCCACTATCTTTACATCATTTCAAAGTAAATTTACATTTACCACAGAAGAATTAGCCACTACACATTGTCAAGAGGTAAAATTGGTAGTATAGATTGTAAATTAAGATTAAGATGTTCTTGGGCCTCCCCGGTGGCGCAGCGGTTGAGCGCTGGGTTGCGAAGCTGCCCGCGGCCTCTGCAGCGCCGGTTCAATCCCCGGCTGCTCCCCGGCCACTGGAGGAGGGTCCCACATGGCGCGCAGACCTCTCCTGCCGCCCGCTGCTCCCCTCGGCAGTGTACTTCGGTCCTTCTGCCTGCTCTGCTCCCCGCTCTGGCTCTGGTGAGTTCTCTCACCCTCCCGTGCTTCTGACTGTACCCAGTGCATGTATAAACAAACAAACAAATAAATAAATAACATGCCTCTATTAAAAAAAAAAAAAAATTAAAAAAAAAAAAAAGATTAAGATGTTCTTGAAGCCTGGGTTATAGCAAAAATTGTTCAAGCATGCTAAAATATTTCTATTCCAAATTCCTATTAGCTTATTAATTACATTCTCTATATATAGCTTTTGCAAATGTTTGCCATATGGTCTGTTTATAAATATCTTAACAGAATTTACACTAATTTAAATGGCTTTCTTTTTTAAATGTCTTACATAAGCAGCAAAAGAAAATCTTAGTCAAGAGTCTTTGTGAAAAAATTCCTGTTAACAGAATGATACTGACCCTATTAGTAGAGCATGCTCTTTTCAAGGTGATTTTGAGAGGGGGGAATGACGTTTGTAATGATCCATTCACACTCCTTTCCTCAAGACTAATATTTTTAGGGTGCCTGGTTGTACTGTGGTGGGTGGTATTGAAACAAGTTAACTGTCTTATATAAAAATTAAACTATAATCTTGGCCTAATTAAGACTGCCTTTCTAAACAATCTTTGTGGCTTTTAGGCTACACACACACAAAGCAGAATTAATGAGTTAAATGGTTTGTTCCCCATAGTTCATATTTTAGGCATTTCTATTTATGAAAATGCCTTTCATCATACTAAGACTTCAAATCTATGCAGTATTTAATTTCAAAAGTAAAAATGTTCTTTTTAAAAAGTGTTACGTTATCCCAAGTACAGAGATAAATACTTCCTGATTTATGCCTCTGCTATACATACATACAGCATATTTTTGGTTTTCAATAATGGGCTTATTCTGTTATACAAACTGCTTAAGTGTTAGGTGTGTTGGCTGTTAGGTTTAATTATATAAATGTAGCCTGTCAGCTGTGCCTTGGCTATTTGAGGTTAAAAAAATCAATGAAAATGGAGGAAATCCTTTTTTCTGTCATCCTTTTACATTCCTACTTTTACTAACAGAATTCTTGTTTAATTAGCCTTGAACTAATACCATTATTTGATTTCTTTAAATGCTACCTTATTGACACTATTTAAAATGTAACTTAAATGTATTTCCACCAGGTTTTCTTAAACTGAAAAATGCAGATGTGAGAATTTGAGTGATATTAAAATGACTTTGTAAGAAATCATGCAGGAATTAATTTTACTTGTGTTTCCCCAAACTTTTGGTATTTGGACATAGGGTGCTTTTTAATGTTTGAGTAAATCAGAGTGATCCTATATAACGGAGGATCACTGTAGTCATAAAAGCAATCATTCCTAAAAAGGAATCAGACGTCCTCCAACTTAAAACCAGAGGTGATGTAAAGTGTCCCTTGCCACTCTCCTTTATGTGTAAGAATGAGTGGGAGGCTGTTAATTACAATTTATTTCAACATTGGGTTTCCAGCTCACAGGTTCCTAAGCTTATTTCCAGTTTGCTTACTATAATTTCAAGGAATAAAAGTAAAAAATCCCCTTGCACTTTTGTGCAGTAATATCATACTGAAATTTATCATGTGGATACTATGAATCAAATTCTGATACACAAACTTTTTCTTTTTGGCAAAATGTTTGTTACAGGCAGCCTGTTTGTTTTTTCCCCAAAATCAGCCATAAAAAGGTAACTATAGTAGTTTCAGAACTCAGAAACAATGTAGTTCAGTAGGCAAATTTTTAAAGAAGTATTCTGGATAATAAACGGAATTCTTTCAACAGTACTATTAGCCCTTTGCACTCCGAACCATTTTACAATATTTTGATTTAATTTCTTGTGCCATTTCAAGATAAAACTTCAGGGAAACATGCATGTCTCAAAAAGTTGCGTTGAAATAACCTCAATTCCCCGTAATCACTAATAAATTGCAATGTCCCCTGAGAGGGGACATCCGAGTGATATGCTAGAATTCCGATGTCCCCTGAGAGGGAACAGCGGAGTGCAAAGGGTTAGTTACAATGAGAATATTGATTTTTTTCCCTGAAAAATCCCAAACTTCACAATCATCTCTATTTCACAATCCTTTTTACACACACACACACACACACACACACTCTCTCTCTCTCTCTCAAAATAGAGACACAAATATAAAGCCTTATTGATCTCATATGTATAAAACGTTTGACAAATGTTGGGAAAAGCTGAAGAAATAACTAATGGCATATGTCAAACAAACATAAAATTGGCATGTGTTAAGATTTTATCAAATTTTAGCAAAACAGATTTTTAGTTTAATAATTACTTTTCCATTGTCACTATAGAACCAATGAAACCACAGCTTTAGTAAATAAGAATTATGAAGAATATATCTATTGCTTATTTGATGTGGCCATAAGCAAGACATGTATATTGTTTCCATGAATCACTTGATTACAGAAACCTAACCACATTTTAGATATATTAGTTTTCCTTAACAGGGCCCTGCAGATGCACGAGGCCAGTGGTTCTACATAAGCATCTTAACGCTTTATTTCATTTCAATAATATAAAAACCATATCCTAGATCCTATTCAAAATAACTAACGACTGAATTACTTTAGTACCTGGAGTTAGCAAGTAAGTCCACAGACATTCTCAGTAGTCCTTAGGTTCTCATATGTGAAACACTGTACTCAACTTTTACAAGTATGCTTAGCTATAAATGAAATTCAAAACCCTTTGAAAGGTCTGACTTCCATAACATATATAATTTGAATTATTGAATGACTTAGGAAAAAAAGTACCTTTTTATTAAAAAAGTATCAAATTTATTTCAATATCTAGTTTCTTAAATTAAAGCTGTTAAACAATTTTTTGTAATTTAAAATTCATTATCAGAGGTGAAAACATTAGTAAGCTATTAATAACAATGATAATTACTGAACCATGCATTTAAAAAATTCACGTTTAATAGTAAAGCGTTCCAGTTATACTATTTAACTGAAGGAAATATCCTTTAGCTATTTATTTCTAATCATAACAAATTCTCATTTTAATTTACTCTTTTTACCCAATTACTACTATACACAACAACATTTTACCAAATCTTAAACTTTTCTTTACCACTTACAATGACTTAACTGTTAATCTTTAAGCATTGCTTAAATGAACCTGAAATTTAAATTCTCACCATGAACTTGTTTGATCAAAAAATATAGGACATCACTACCACATGAGTTAAAACAAAGAACAGAATAAAAAACAAAACTGGCACTACAAGATTTGGCATTTTTACTACAAGTTTTAAATGATAGTGTCACTCTACTGAACAAGTCATCTCTAAGAAAATGGCAGTGTTTGTAAGTACAAAAATTATTATATCCAGTAGGTGGTATTCTATAGTCAAGATAATAAAAGAATTCTTTATAAAATTAGATTTTTAAAAAATGCTTCATGTCTGATAATTACCAGCCTCTCAAAGGCTAAAATCAGAAGAATGCAGAAAATAGAAGTACTCAATGATTAACATTATTTGCATTGGGAAAGCTATAAATGATTCTATGCTAAGAAATAAGCAATGATAAAGATATACTGTATCTCTTTTAAGCTAAAGAACATTTTTAAGCTCAGAGGAGAACTGTGAATTTTACATTCTTACTATTCTTTATCTAGAACAGGACCCCATTTTAAATCACTATTTGAGTTCATAATCTAAAGTCATTTTACTCCACAGGATATTTTCATTTCAGTACATAAGCTATAAGATGGCAAATGATAAAGCCAGTTATGAAGAATTTGTAGCACAATAAATGCCAATTTACAGTAACTGTCAACAGTCTTCTACACAAAAGCCTAAAAGTTGTTATAGAATGAAGTCAGAATTAACATGATTCTTCTATATGCTCAGACCTCATTGCTAAATAATACTGTCATAAAATCCAGAGGAGAAATGTTAGTGGGTCCTCCTAAAACTGCTTAATTTTCCGAATGATTTTCCTGTTTGTAAAGCCTGTTCATTCCTTCAATCCTTTTTTAGTCGTTTAGCTTTTGCAATATTTTCTTGACGTTTTTGTTTCTTCTTTTGCTCCTTTTCCCTGGTCTCAATCATCTTGGCCAATTTCCAGGACAGGACAGCACTCGCTAAAAACAGTGGAGTAAGGGCCAAAATAACTGTTGTAAGGAAGCCATATGGGTCCTTTGCAGCCCATTCCACAACGTACTCAGCCCATGCCTTGATGTCAAACATCTTTTTAGCAGTCTTAGAAAAGGGGGAGACTGTGGGGAGGGAGGGAGAGAGGGAAGAGGGAAGGGAAGGGACAACAGAAAACAGTGTGGTTAATCAAATTTTGAAAAAGTTACATTATACAGTTACTCAATTCCATGATCACTAATAAATACTTACTAGTACTATATTTTAATAAGATTAAAAATTTAAAAGATTAAAATTAAAAGTATGTGGAATCTGTCATAAGAACTGTGCATTCTCATATGCCTCCTATATTCAAGACAAAATTTATTTTAGCAGCAGATTTATAAAAGAATCTTGTTTTATACACTCATTTCAGGAAATAGCTAAATTCTGTTTGTCATAGCCCTAGTACTATTAAGTACTAACTGACAAAAGCACTAATCATCAAATTTGGTGTTTGAAAAGGGCAAGCCACAGTGTAGGTGAAATGCTTGGAGGAAGGTAGGTAATGGATGACTGTTTCCAAGTGTGAAAAGGAGAGGGTAAGGGTGCTCTGATAACATCTTCTGAGATGATATAAGCATGATATAAGCAAAAGTAACATACTAATTTTCACCCTTTTTCAGCCTTGAGAAAGCCTATTTGAGAATACCATCTAATGAATGAGAATAAATTTAATAAATGAGAAAAGTAATCATAACAGTTGCCATGGATCTTATTCCATTTGAATTGGTACCAAAGGACCATCTGGCAAATGAGGATGGTGTGGATTTGAATGACATTTTCTATTTTGCCCCAAAGGCTTTTCAACCTTTTATGTTTGTGTTACCCTCTACTCCAAGTGGAGAATTAGAATACCTGAGTAGAGAATGGGTCTATATTCAGCCACTTAAAATTGTAATTGGGATTTTAATAATCATCTACCTTATGCCTGAGTAGTGATCTCTAACTTTGTCCTGGGATTATTAGTAAGCCAATCACAATTTCAGATGATCCTTGGCTGGTTGTCTTCTTTAACGTACACTTCTGAGGGAAGGTTTAAATTCTGTATAGTGGGTGGGTTGAAAAGAATAAAAGAAAAAAGTGTAAGTCACAACTTTCAGGGTAATTATTATACAATCTTAAATGGAAAAATTTTAAATTCTATAGATGTAACCTATAAATGACATGTTTATGTCATTGTCACATATGGCTGGCACATTATAAATATTTAACATCAATTTTTTCCTAACTTGAAGAAAAGTAATTACCACAACTGCAAATGCCCTATAAGAAAATCCTAATTACTAGAGATTAAGTATTTTATTAAGTTTTTTATTTCAACACTAAACTTATCCATTCCTAGATCGTGAAATTTTTAATACTAAATAAGGCAATTATTTACAGGAACCGGTACATAACCATAAAAGAAAACACCTAGCCTTACTCTTTGAAGGTTTTTTTAATCCTTTTCTTGTACACTTCGTGTTCTTTATAGGAAACTAAAATACAAATTACCCCCATCCCATCCCCTCAAGAAAACTGCCACTGGTTTTAATGATGAATGTCTAGTTTCTTCGTTGTTTTCAACTGAAGACACATTAAAGCACCGAACAACAATAGGATATTATTTTAAATGGCCTGGCCTCCCCGAATTCGCACGCCCGCACCCACACGGTCGGTACTAGGCTCTACTGAGATCCCAGTTTCTCCAGCGTCCCCGGCCCGACAATGAATTAACTCGTGCCAACATTCAGAGATAAGCAAAGGAACTCTGCGGCAAAGAACAACGCGGGAGAGAAGCAGCAGGTTCAAGGCAAAGTTTTAGCCATTAACTCAAAGGAAGGAGCTACTGCTCACAGGTCACACACCTCCCGGGCACGAGTGAGACCCTCGCGCGCGCCCACCCTCTCACGAGTGTTCATCTGCTTTCCGGGCAGGGCTGTCTGGGCTGGACCCGCGGACAGACCCGCGGGACCGCAGCAGTGCAGACGGCGGCACTTGACACCCGCCCCACGTCTTCCCTCGGCTCCCCCGGGCTCACTCTTCTTCCCCGACTCCACCGGCCGCCAACCCCGGGGGGCCCCGTTCACCCCACCCTCGGCCTTGGCGAGCCCGGGCCCGGCAAGGCTCGCAGAATGGCGGCCCGTGGAACCCCGTGGACTCGCCACCCCCGACGCCGGCGCCGCGGCCGCTCCGCTGGAGCACGGCGGCAGCACCTCACCAGCGGCGGCCGCCGGACGCCCACGCCGCCCGCGGGCTCGGACCCCGACTTCCAACTCACCGCCGGGCCGGAAGCAGGAAGGCGGAAGCCGCGGCTCCCAGTCCCGCCCACACGCCGGCCCCAGCCGGAGCCGGGCTAAGGAAGTCGAGGGGCCAGTTTCCGGCTGCGCCATCGCGGCGCGGGTCCCGGGACCTCAAAGCCGCGGGTGCGGGGAGGGCCGCTGGGGGCGGGGCGGCGCCGGGGTTTCCGGGGAGCGGCAGGTGAGGCTGCGTGCGGGGGCGCCGGGGTGGTTTCTGGAAGGGCGTCCGAGCCCGCCGCGGGACGCCGGGCCGGGCCGGGCCTGGAGACGCGGGTGGGCGCTGGCCTCTGGCCTGGGGGCGCGGGTCCAGCTCCGCCGAGGGCCTCTACCTTTCCCCGGAGGTCACTCGGGGAACAGTCTCTTCCCCTGCTAGAGCCGCTGGTGGGCGAGCTCTGTGGCCCCTGAAAACTCAGGCCAAAGAGAGGCTGCAAGAGAGGAGTCGGTCCCCACAAACCGCCTGAAGTCAAGGTGAGAGTCACCCGACGACTCCTGACACATTCTGGCGACTTCTTTCTGGTTCACGCCACTCCCTTTCCCTTCCTCCCCCATCCTCTGGATAGAAACTAGTTAAGTCCTCGCATAGAGACAGATCCCTGGGCCGTGGTGGATCCGCTTGAACCTCGTTACTCAATGAAATGCAGCTTTACTGTTTGAAGAGGGCTTTTTGTTGTTGTTTGTTTTTAATTTAAGAACCTAACTTACGCACAAAAGAATGATCTATACTGATCCAAAGTAAACTTGACAAATAATTGGACTGTTTGGGCATAGAGTTCCCACGGAGGTACTTGTTCTTTCAGCGCACAAATAGATGCAAAAGTCAACAAGCAGAAAGTTTTAGTTAATGTTGTCTTCTAATCTACAGGAACTGAGAGATTAGCTCTGGTTTGGTTGGTGACCAAATTTTGTGAGTGCTTGCACTGAGCTGCTCTGTTTGACTGCCTCTGCAAATGTTGCAAGACCTCTTGACTGTTTGTTGTATGCCAAATAAAGCAGGTTTTTATTCTTGAAAGACTATAGAATGTTCTCTTTGAGAGCAAGCTGTGACATGCTTAACTAGTTTAGGTATAACAACAGTAACTTATTTTCCAGGGAACACGCTTTTGGCAAATAATCTAATGATCTAAAAGACTGTTCGTTAGGCATATGTTAATGTTTGTATGTTGTATTAGCAGCAGTTGTTTCCTTACTCATTCTTGCTTGAAAACTTGAATGATGGGTTCAAAGCTTGTGCTACTTGGACCTAGCCTGTACCTGGAGTAGCCAGAAAAAGCAGACTCAGTCACTGGATTATGTGCACTGAAAACTTGCTGGAGGTAACTTTGTGTTTGGTATGTTTGTTTTTTTAACTTGCCCAAATAGTAACTCCTAAAGGAGGTCAGAGTTTATTTTAAACATCCCACTCTCCAGAGGCCAGTGTATGAATGTGTTTTGTTTTAATGGTGGAGAGACATTTTTTGCAGTTACTGCCTCCCCAATAGGATGCTCTGCTGTATCCCTTGTTAAACATGGAGTCTGAGGCCAGAGGAGTAGCTGTAGAAGGCGGAAGCCTCTGAAGCTTCATGACACCGACTAGTTTAGAACAAGCCTTCTCAGTCTGATATTGGTCTAATTTTTAATTCCACCTCCAGCTGTAAGCCCTGGAACAGCCAATGGGTTGCCTCAGCCCAGCTCTTACTGCAACCTGCATTGCCTTAATGAAAAGTGGTGTCAAGCTTGGTTCAGACACAACTGCTTTCTTTAGCGAGGAGTCATAGCTTGTGAGTTGATATTCACAGACCTTGACTCTACTGGTCTGTATGCTCTGATGAGTTACTCTGAGTCTGTTTCCCCTTTAATACTTGGAAAGCATGCTAGGCGATCTCTGGTATTCTTTCAGCTTTAAACTCCTGTCAGACTGAATTTGCCATTTTGCTGACAGCCTGATAAGCAGCAGCAGAGTAAGGATTTAGTGGAAGAATCAGAGCCAGTTTTCTTAAGGTCTTAATTTTTATTTGAAAAAGATTCTTAATCGGGTTTTTGTTCTCTCTCAGTGCCTTTCAGAAAACCAGTTTAGAATACAAGGAAACAAAAGCTGCTTGTATTTATTTTTCAGAAGTAAAATATTACCCATTCATGTGACTTTAACCAAATCAGCTAAACCATATACTGTTAAGGAGAATCTGTCTTTGAATTAGAATAATTCTTGTGTAGCATATAACTCCACCAGCCCAATCAGTACTAGTGCACTCTGTTGCAATTATATTTTGAAAATGGAGCCTTATAAAATTCTAACAATTTTTCTCTTTAAGAGGTAAATCCTAGGCTTTATCATTTGTTTGTTTAAAATTCTTTCTCCTTAGGATGGTACAAATTACATTTTGTCCAAGCGCATATCAAAATTGTGAATGCATGAAACTCGATTTATAATCATATTATATTTACAATCAAATTATATTTAGACAACTAAAGTTTTGAGAGCTTTCTCACCGGCTCCACATTTTGTGCTTATTTCACTACAGTAACATTTAACGTTTATTTTAATGGAATTGGTTTCTTTCCTTAGTTTTGTTTTGTAAATTTTTCCTTCTATTGAAAGAAATGCAAATGTATTTAGTACACACATTTTTGGGGGTTAAAAAATTAATATTTTAACGATATTTAAAAAATCATACTGAAGAGTAGTGCTTTTTTAAAAGCTGTCTATTGAGTACTTGCTATGTATAATGCTGGACTAGATTCTTCACATCTGTTTCACTAATCCAGCCCTGCAGGATAGTGTTCTTATACCCATTTTACAGATAAGAAACCAGAGACTTAAAAAGTAGAGCAAGATTCAAAGCACATTTGATCAAAATTCCTGTTCTGTTTAGTGTGCAAGACTTAACAAAAATGCTGACTTCATAAAATGAAAGTATGTTTGATTCTATAATTGTTAATTAACTGATAGTCACAACTCAGATCTTCCCATACTTTAAAATTGCCTATTGCCCAGGTGGTGGCAGCATGTCTCAAAGAGCTAGCGTGGTAAGGTTTTCTTCACCCTTGCCAGTTGATGTTTGTTCATCTCACACCGACTTGTCTGTCATCCTCTGCTTTCTCTGTTGGGCACTTTCACTAGTTAGACCCACCCATCAGCGATGCACTACACCTGCCATCCTCCCTTCATCCTCACCTTCTGAGTGGTACACTACCAATGTCCTTTCAGCCTGTTTTGTCTATGAATTATCACCCAATTATTATTTTCTAGAAGATTCATCTTAGCCTGTCCAGTAACAACAAAAATTTTAAGTTTTTTTTTTTACCCATTTTTAGACATTATTTGGCAGAAATGGATTCTAGACTTAATACTACTGTTAAGAAATACTTGTTTAAATTAGAATGCTTTTCAATCTTATGGGATACACTGATTAAGATGTAATGAAAAGCTTTTTAATGTTACAGTTAGTCTTCAGGATAACAAGATTTTCAGTAGAGAGCAGTGCGGGGTTTTAATTCACAAGGAGCACATGTAAGTATATAGCAAAATAGTAAAGTAGTTAAATCCACTTTAACCAAAAGTGCTTGTGACATTTTTCTCATATCTTTGCTGAACTAGTGGCTTCCTAGAGATTTCAAATCAAGATCTTTCCATCTTTTCACAGAAGCCCTCTTTACCGCTATCATTCCTCACCCCCCCCCACCCCGCCTTCCCACGCAGAGCACTTACCTCTTTCTAGCATCTTTTTTTTTTTTTCCTAGCATCTTATTTTTTTGACTGGTTTATTGACTTTTTTTCCACTGGAATATAAGTTATGTGAGATCCCTTACTCCGGTCTGTAGAATATTGTTTTGCAACACAGTGTTGCTACTTAAAAGTAAAACTGTTAGTGTTTAAATGAATCATGATAAATTGTAGGAATTTGTGAAATTCGTATTTAAAGTACCAAACTGTTGTAGTATGTTTTGAAAGAAATAAGGGATGTACCAATAAGAGGAGGTCTAAAGATCATAAATAAGATGTTTTAGGGAAGGTACAAATAATTGTGGTTATCTTGATAATGAAGGACGCCTAGTTTCTGAATGACTTCCAAGTGTGTACCAGGAACATAGTGATTCATCATCTTCATTGATAAGATAAAAGGAATTAGTCCTGGACTGTAGGTGCAAAGATTTAAGATAAGCACACGCTAGACTAGAGATCTAAATAGAGATCTTTGAAAATGGGGTAAGAGTGTATATGCAGACTAGATGCCCTCTTTAGATACATTCCAGCTTTATGCTTCCCAATAGAGAGTGTAGAAGAAATACTTAGATTAGATAGCAGATGATTCTTTCTTTGATTATTCCTTGCTGCCAGTGGTCTTTTCCGAACATTTAAGAACCAGTTCACTGTGTCAGCACAGTCAGTACAGATGATTATATATTGCTACTTTTGATAGTTTATAGAATTTTGTTAATACTGAAAATTGGGTGTTTCTGCTGCTTTTACACTAAAACTTAACAACTCTAAATCTTAATAATGTACTGTCCAGGCACATGTAGCAAACTAATTCCCTGTAGAGGGCACCCTTTTGGAGAAGTAAACGTCCAGTAAATCCTCCTGAAGCCTTGGGTTGCTATCCTGTTGAAGTTGTGAGAGACACTAGGCTTTCCTGCTGAATCTGGAGCCTCCAATATTAGGCATATCCCTAAATGATGTAATTATATGAGCCATTTCAAGTAACCTTTTATTTCTG